AATAACAAAAAAAGTTATTGTTATCAATAACAAATAACAAAAAAAGTTATTTGTTATTAATAACAATAACAAAAAAAGTTATTTGTTATTAATAACAAAAAAATAACAAATAACTTTTTTTTTAGAAAAATCTTAGTTATGCTTTGTTACTATGTAAAAGTATACCAGTTCTATTTGCTCATTATTGTCCAGTTGCTCGATGATGTTACTAACCGCAATCTCCATTAGATAGCCTATGAAACTGAGAAAAATCCTAAAAAGATCTTTTCAAATATCTTGCTCACCTACAGGTAAAATTTACTAATCGGTTTACGAGGAACGATTCCTCAATGTTCGATTGCCTTTGACTTGATGTTTTGGTCAAATAAAAGTCCTTGCGAAATGAGATTCTAGGTGCCATTTTTCGAGTTACGATCTGTACAATCTTTCTAGACATTTTCACATCTCCCAAAGGCTTATATTTGACCAACACATCAAGTCAAAGACAATTGAGCATTGAGGAATCGTTCCTCGTAAAGCGATCCGTAAATTTTGCCTATAGATGAGCAGGATACTTGAAAAGATCTTTTTAGGATTTTTCTCAGTTTCATAGGCTATCTAATGCAGATTGCGGTTAGTAACATCATCGAGCAATTGGACAATACTGAGCAAACAGAGCTGGTATACTGTTACATAGTAACAAAGCATAACTAAGATTTTTCGGAAAAAAAAGTTATTTGTTATTTTATTGTTATTAATAACAAATAACTTTTTTTGTTATTGTTATTAATAACAATAACTTTTTTTGTTATTGTTATTAATAATAATAACTTTTTTTGTTATTTGTTATTGATAACAATAACAATAAATTCACACCCCTAGTTGTTACTAGATATTACAAATCTATTTTATTAGGACATGCAACAGCAGCTATTCTTAAAACTGCTATTCTAGATTCACTTAAAGCTGATGGATTAGAACTTAAACAATTATTAATGTTAGGTCGTGATAGTTTATTTGTTAATTTATCGTTGGAGAATATGATTGAAAATGAAATGAAAAAGGTTCGTTGTGGTCTTTTGAAACTTGGTGGTTGTCATCTTCATGTAGCACATAATGGTTTTAAAGCTGGTAAGTATAGATGCCTTTTTGGATAATGTATCAGAGTATTTTGTTTGTTTTTTACGAGGTTTATCCTCATCAGATTGGAATATTCACAATAAATGTATCGATATTTATTCATGGTTTAAACAATCACCTGCTCGCAAAGAAGATTTGATTGGTATAATTAGCGATTATAATTGTGTTATTGAAAAGACAATACTATATTTCACCAATACACGGTGGGTTTGGTTAGGCAAAGTAATAACGCGCGTTTTACGTAAGTTCATTTTTTTATACATGTATTTTAAAAGTTAATATTATGTTGAATTATTTGTAGCATTATGGGAACCATTACATGAATATTTTTTAATGTATTTACCAGTCAATAAAAAGCAACAAGTTCAAAATAATGATCGTTATGAAAGAATTAAAGAATCGTTAACTTCGTATGTAATTAAAATTAGATTGCAGTTTGTATTGTTTTTATGTGAAACAATATTCGATCGTTTTTTGACATTGTTTCAACAAGAAGCACCACTTATACATCTTCTTTATTATGAATTGCCATCGTTGTATCGTTTAGTTTTATTACAATTTTTAACATCAGATTGTGTTGGTGATAAAGTTGGAGGTGATTTATTATATATAGATTTTAAATTAAATGAAAAACAATTGAATAATAAAAATATACGTATTGGTAATGTAAAAATTAATCTTAATTGAAACATGTATTTTTTATTCATTTATTTTTAATTATCAGGAGAAGGAGCTCGAAAACTATTAAGTAATCTTACACAAAAAGAGCGAGAAACATTTTATGAAGATATTAGAACCATTTATCATACAATAGCTGAGTATTTGAAAAAGAATCTACCATTAAGAAATTCATTTTTACGTGATATACAAATTCTTCATCCCTCGTATAGATCTGTACAATATAGTGATGATATCGTACGTATTGCTAGAACTGTTCCAGGTCTATTGAGTGATCAAGAGATTGATTATACACGTGATGAATGGTTAAATTATTCACTTGAACACATTGATGAAACGTGGTACATTAAAGAGAAAAAAAAGGATTATTTAGGTGCTGAAATTGTTATATATCATCGTATTGATTATTATTGGAATAAAGTTTTGAGCATTACAACGACGGATGGTCGTCATAAATATTCTACGTTAAGCAAACTAATTAAAAACATTCTTATTATTCCTCATGGTAATGCTGATGTTGAACGTGGTTTTCAATAAATGAAAATATAGTTCCGGAAAATCGATCGATATTATCTGATTCGTCAATCAATGGATTAAGGTCAACATATGATGGTATAAAATTTGCTGGTAATGGTTCAAGTCACAAGGCATATATCCGTCTATTTTATCTTTATTTAATATTTTTCTATTTCTTAATCTAGGTACAAATAAACAAAGAAATTATTAAGTCAGTTCAATCATCTTA